GGGGAAGGAGGGAAGGATGGAGAAGCGCCAGTGTGGGGGCTGGCAGCAAGTGCTTCTGTGAGAAATAGTCCAGCAAGGCTAAGAGTGTGGCCTTTGGAGAAGGTAGGGTGACATCAGCTGGGTGATGTCGGCTGCCCTGTCCTAGCGTTCTCCTTTTCCTGGGAGCCTCCTGTCATTTCTAACACATTTGTTTTCCCTCAACCTGGGCATTTTATTTGCCCAGCACTGGTGCTATGTCTGAATTGTGGCCTCCAACATTTGTATGCTGAAGCCTCAACCCCCAATGTGATTATTTGCAGGGAGGAGGTTTAAGGAGACAGTTAAGGTTGAATGGGTTCATACGGGTGGGGCCCTAATCCCATGGGGACCAGTGTTCCTATACGAAGAGAAAGAGACCAGGAGTGCGCACAGAGAAAAGGCCATCTGCAAACCAAGGAGAGAGGCCTCAGGAGAGAAAAACCCACTGGCACCTTGGCCTTGGCCTTCCAGCCTCCAACACCGTGAGAAATACATTTCTGTGGTTTAAGCCGCCCAGTCTGTGGTCCTTGGTGATGGCCGCCCAGCAGGCTCATGTAACTGGGATACCCTAGCGACCCTTTTCATCTGATGAACTGCGGGTGCTGACTTTGTTACCAGACTGAGCCAGAAACCTGGAGCCCATGTGCAAGGCACTGTTCTCTAGGGCATTGCCCAGATCTGTGCCAGTGGAGACAGGAGGTGAAGGAAGTGTTGTGTGTGTATTCATCTGGGGTCCTGTCCTTCCTTACCTCTGTGACCACAGTGCACCCCACAGTGGCTGACATATAGAAGGCACCCCAGGTTATTTGTGGAATGAACAAATGAATCACATAGTTGATTGCATCTGCATCTGTCTTCACGCAGATATGCTGTGTGGATGTTTAGAAATCCAGCAGGGGAGCAGGGAGGCTGGGTGCAGTGGCTCACGTGAGCCTGTAATCTCAGCACTTTGGTAGGCTAAGGCAGGCGGATCACTTGAGGTCAGGAGTTGGAGACCAACCTGGCCAACATAGTGAAACCCATCTCTACTAAAAATAGAAAAATTAGCCAGGCGTGTTGGCACATACCTATAATCCCAGCTACTCAGCAGGCTGAAGCAGGAGAATCACTTGAACCTGGGAGGTGGAGGTTGCAGTAAGCTGAGATTTTGTACCATTGCACTCCAGCCTGGGTGATGGAGTGAGACTGTTTCAAAAAAAAGAAAAGAAAATCCAGTAGGTGAGCAGGGAGGACTTGGAACCCAGTTGGACCACAGGGGCCATTCCAGCCCTGTGAGGGACCCCATGGAGCAGCCTGCTCTGGTGACCAACACAATAAGACAGCCATTCCCAATCAGGGAGGATTTTGCCCCCGCCAAGGGTACATGGCAATGTCTGGAGACAGTGTTGGTTGTCACAACTGGGGTAGGGCGTGGGGCCTACTGGCATCCAGTGTGTAGGGGCCAGGGATGCTGCTAAGCATCCTACAGGGCATGGGACAGCCCCCGGGATGGAAACCTGACTGCCCCCAAACGTCCATAATGCCAAGGATAAGAAACCCTACAGCAAGATTAAGTTTCCTGGTTCATGATGAGCTAATGAGAGCATGTCAGTTCTAAAGAGGAAAGCCATGCTAAGCAGGCAGGGAGCTCTTTCTTCTGGAGGAAGCAATGAGCAGATGGTTAAGCTGAATATCCGCTCATTGTTGCGTGATAACTGCTGACATTTGAAGGGCCTCGGAAGGCTTCCTTCTGCAGGCTGCAGAGGCACGTGTAACAGCCTGAGACGGAGGTTAGTTTTTGTGGGCCTTGCTTTAGAAATGATGGGATAGGCTGAGGCGCCTCCTTCTTCCTGCCAAGGCCCATTTGAAAGCACCTGGTCCCCCTCAGCATCCCCTGGTCCTCTGTGCCCTCCGTGTATCCAGGGGCAATTACGGAGCAGGAAGAGGAGGCCGCTGCTGGTGGGAGATGTGGTACGTGAGAGTACTAGGGCCTAGAGGAAACAGTGAGTTGGTTTTAGAAAGAAGGGAGGCAGCACCTTTTGAAATGAGAAGGAAGCAGGAGTGTTTGGAGAAACCATTTGGGAGAAAGAGCTCCGTATTTAGGGCATCTGCTCCAGGTAGGCCCTGGGTGGAGAGGAGGGGAGTGAGAGGTTTGAAACCAGGACTGGCTCATAGACGTGCTTCCAAATGATGTTTTCAATCCAAGCGTTTCTTGATCCTGTAAGAGAAAGTGTGACCAGTCAAGCGGGAAACAGAGCTAAGGCCGGTTCCTAAACTCAAGAAGCTTGAGGTTTTCTTGTGCTGTGAGCTGAGTTCTCTGCCAGGTACTCCAGGAGAAAGGTGCTTATGAGCAAAGCTTGGCAAGCACTGTGCAAAATACTCACTGCCCAGAGATTTGCAGTCGGGAGCATGAATTGCTCTGAGAAAATCAACAGGAAGAGACCAGTTCAGGGGTTAATTGTGCATTTCCCAAACCTTGTTTGTTTGTTGGGGTGAGAGATAAGGCTCCCAGATTTAGCAAATGAAAATACAGGGTGCCCATTAAATCTAAATCTTAGGTAAACAAAGAATCAGTGAGACATGGGACATACTTACATTTAAAAACTGTTGATTTATCTGAAATTCAAATCCAGCTGAGCATCCTGTCCTTTGTCTGGCAACCATGCCGGTGGTGGAAGGGGACTGGGGGCACGTAACACCTGTCATGAGGCACACACCCAGGTCTTACCTGTGCCAGCTCCGTTTATTCCTCATTCTGCATCCTCCTAGTACTTAGGCCTGCAGACCGCCTTATCGTGTTTGCCCCCTTGTCCAATGACACACTTTGAGTTTTCTGGCAAATCTTTTTCTGGCATCCGTGACTTCCTGGAGCAGCTGTGAACTCAGAAATACATGAAAGATGCCGCTGGGTGCCAGCAGATCCCTGAGTAGCCGAGCCAAAGCTGGGACTGGCCGGATCCCCATGGGCAGTAGGGTGGTGGGACCTTAGAGCGTCATTTGGCCAACATTTGCAGCATCTGCAGCATGTTTGGGAAATAGGAGCGACCTCCTTGGCTGGCAGTGGCTGATGAGTAGAAAAGCTGAGAGGAGGCAGCTGGGAGAGCAGTGAGAATAGGCAACAGCAGAGCCAAGGATAGGCAGGCAGGACTGAAGGAGAGGTTACAGCTAATGGCTGGAGCGGCAGGTGGCAGACAGCAAGTGCCACTACAGGTGCCGGGGGCCTCCGTGTACAGGCTCCCCTGTTCTTCACAGTGGCTCTGAGGAGTCAAGAACAGGCTTGTTGGTGGCCGTGACTGGTATTAATATTTATGGAAGGCTCCATATGCCTTCCTGCAGGATTTCTCTGTCTTGCTGTCCTACTCCTGACCCTTGCTTTAGCCACACTGGCCTCCTCGCTGTTTCTGTAACACACCGGGTGCTCCTGCCGCAGAGCCTTTACTCGTGCTATTCCTTTTCTGCCCAGGATGCTTCCTCCCCAGGAGTCCTCCTGGTTCATGCACTTACCTTGATTCTGATCTTTGCTTAGATGTCTCCTCAGAAGATCTTGCCTGACTACCTTATTTTAAAAGTGAATCTCCTATCCCGGCTTTATTTTTCTCCTTAGCATGTGTCACCCTCTGAAATTCTGTACATTGTTTGTTTTTGAGACAGAGTCTTAGTCTGTTTGGCTAGAGTGCAGTGGCGCAATCTTGGCTCTCTGCAACATCCGGCTCCCAGGCTCAAGCGATTCTCCTGCCTCAGCCTCTGGAATAGCTGGGATTACAGGCGTGTACCACCATGCCTGGCTAATTTTTGTGTGTTTTTTTTAGTAGAGACTGGGTTTCACCATGCTGACCAGGCTGGTCTCGAACTCCTGACCTCAAGTGATCTGCCTGCCTCGGCCTCCCAAAGTGCTGCGATTACAGGCATGAGACACCACGGCTGGCCCTGGTGATTTATTCACTGTCTTCCCCTGAAGAATGTGACTCCCAGGAAGGGAAAGATTTTGTCTATTTCTGTTCCTTGTTGAATCTCTAGTACCTAGAACCATGCCTGGGCCTGATGAGGCACTTGGTGAATGTTTTTGAATGAATACTCTGAGCTGGGTTCTTTAATCGGTCCTCATCGCCCGCATTGTACAGATGAGGGAACTCTGGGCAAGCCTGGCCAGGGTCTCGAGCTAATTATGGGTAGGCCAGGATCTGTACTCAAGTAGTACACCCAGTGTGATGGGCAGGGGTGGCCTGGGGCCATGGTTTGTCAACCCCTACGCTGGAAGGTGATGTTTTGGCACAAGAGGAGAGGTGCCCCAATGCATCCTGTGTCTGTAATTGATGGATTTGTCTCTGTTTCCTCAGGATGTGGTTCTGAGACAGTCCCTGTCCCTGATGGCCCACGGAGCGACTCAGTGGAAGGAAGTCCCTTCCGTCCCCCGTCACACTCCTTCTCTGCCGTCTTCGATGAAGACAAGCCGATAGCCAGCAGCGGGACTTACAACTTGGATTTTGACAACATTGAGCTTGTGGATACCTTTCAGACCTTGGAACCTCGTGCCTCAGACGGTAAGAATCAGGAGGGCAAAGTGAACACACGGAGGAAGTCCACGGATTCCGTCCCCATCTCTAAGTCTACGCTGTCCCGGTCGCTCAGCCTGCAAGCCAGTGACTTTGATGGTGCTTCTTCCTCAGGTAATCCTGAGGCCGTGGCCCTCGCCCCAGATGCATATAGCACGGGTTCCAGCAGTGCTTCCAGTACCCTTAAGCGAACTAAAAAACCAAGGCCGCCTTCCTTAAAAAAGAAACAGACCACCAAGAAACCCACAGAGACCCCCCCAGTGAAGGAGACGCAACAGGAACCAGATGAAGAGAGCCTCGTCCCCAGTGGGGAGAATCTAGCATCTGAGACGAAAACAGAATCTGCCAAGACGGAAGGTCCTGGCCCAGCCTTACTGGAGGAGACACCCCTTGAGCCTGCTGCAGGGCCCAAAGCTGCCTGCCCTCTGGACTCAGAGAGCGCAGAAGGGGCTGTCCCCCCAGCTTCTGGAGGTGGCAGAGTGCAGAACTCACCCCCTGTCGGGAGGAAAACGCTGCCTCTTACCGCGGCCCCGGAGGCAGGGGAGGTGACCCCATCAGATAGCGGGGGGCAAGAGGACTCTGCAGCCAAAGGGCTCTCCGTAAGGCTGGAGTTTGACTATTCTGAGGACAAGTGTAGTTGGGACAACCAGCAGGAAAACCCCCCTCCTACCAAAAAGATAGGCAAAAAGCCAGTTGCCAAAATGCCCCTGAGGAGGCCAAAGATGAAAAAGACACCCGAGAAACTTGACAACACTCCTGCCTCACCTCCCAGATCCCCTGCTGAACCCAATGACATCCCCATTGCTAAAGGTACTTACACCTTTGATATTGACAAGTGGGATGACCCCAATTTTAACCCCTTTTCTTCCACCTCAAAAATGCAGGAGTCTCCCAAACTGCCCCAACAATCATACAGCTTTGACCCAGACACCTGTGACGAGTCCGTTGACCCCTTTAAGACATCCTCTAAGACCCCCAGCTCACCTTCTAAATCCCCAGCCTCCTTTGAGATCCCAGCCAGTGCTATCGAAGCCAATGGAGTGGACGGGGATGGGCTAAACAAGCCCGCCAAGAAGAAGAAGACGCCCCTAAAGACGTAAGTTCAGGGGTGGAGGTGGTAAGGATCGGAGGTGGGGGTGCACATTGACTGTGACTGTTGGTCATGTGCCTGGATAACCTTCGACTGCCCTAACCTTGCCCCTGGGTGCTGTGATGATGCCACGCTTATGGCCGTTGCACCAGGCAGACAATATACGTGTTTTCCTTTCTCTCTGCGGTCACAGCGGTGGCATTTTCCCATCCACATACCCCTTTGTGTCCTTGATCTTTTGCTTTAATAAATCAATGGTCTAGAGCTTTACTTGTAGCCAAAGACCTGACGTTCAGCTCCAGAGCAGTCTGGGAGATCCCAGAGAGGGGAAAGGTCCATTAGAAATCTGGTTGATCTCCCTATTGGTGAGTGATTGCTGTTTGGAGAAGCTAGGAGATACACCCTTTAAAATGTTAAAATTTACAGTACTTGTTTCTGCCTATTAATGAGACATTAGCCCAGGAGGCAAACATAGTAGATTCCAGGAGGCCCAGGAATGAGAGATGTGGCCTGGGCCCCTCCCTGCTGTACCCCAACCAGCCTGTAAGAAACACCCCTCTTTGTCTCCTTCCTCCTCTCCAGTCATCTTTTGTAGACAAAGTCTCTGCAAGTTCTGAAGAGATAAATGGAGCCTGAAAGCAGGGAGCAAATCCCCACAATCCCCAGGAAGCCATTAGTCCTTGGCTCTGTGGACTTGGCAAGACGCAGACATTTGACAGGGTCAAGTATATTGTGCTTAAAAACCAAACACCCACGCCTCTAGAATCCATCCCAAGACCCGGCTCTAACATGGATGGCTGCTGGTCCTTTATTCTTTGGCCTCTGTGGTTAATACCTTGGCGATTTCCTTACTCTCATGGGCAGTATTGTCAATAATTTGACAAGGCTGAGGAGATCAGTCTCCCAGGGGCAGCAGAACAGACCACAGCGCTGGCCCCTCTGGGTCTGTCTGGCACGAAAGAGAACGACATGTTTACCTCCATTCTGGGCTCCCCCTAACGTTGAACATCTGAGAAGAACCCAGGGCCTCCTGAGAGGAGGTCTCTGTAGCAGGTTACCTTGGATCAACCTGCCACTGTCTAGTGGTGGCTGGAGGCCATCCTGGCCACAATGGGAACTTTTTTCTTCAGATCAGTTCCCCAACTAGGTCCTTCCTAGAGACTCCCTAGAATTCACGTTGGAAACTTGATTTCAAGCCTGGAAGAGGAGAAGTCTGCAATGGCTGGACTGCAAGGCCATGCTCTCTCATCTGTGGAATGAGAGCCAACCTTAGCCACCGCCTCCTCCTCCTCCAAGATATGTTCTGTGTCTCATAGGCATCCCCAGTCACTTTCTTGTTTGGGCATCAGAGCTAACAGAGGTCGGGGAAGTTTACCCAGCTTGTGGTCTCACCTCTAGTGCAGAAGGGACTTTGGCGTGGAAGATCTTGCATGGGTCTGACAAAGCTCTTGGGGCACTACAGCTTTGTGGCGTCATTAGGACCGAGAGAGGAAGGTAGGAGGGTGTTCCCCAGCAGCTCCTTCCAAAAAGCTGGGCATTGCCCACCTTCAGAAGTAGACCTTACAGCGATGGCCGCCGTATCCTAACCCATTAATAACCAGTTGTCTGCAGATTTATCTTTTTTGTCAGTTCCTTCTGTCTGTCTCTCTTTTTCTTTGTCTTCTTGTCTTAGGATGGTTGAAGATGTGATGTCTGTGTGTTCTCTGTTGTAAGTAAATTTAATGCAATCTGCTTCTTATGCCAAATGCGCTTATTTTTCTGCCTTTTGTTTTTGCTTCCAAGCCAATTTTGTTTCCCCTCTATGGCTGCTACTGATGTATTTATGTGGTGGGCCTGGGAATGACGGGGCATGGGGCTCCCCAGTAGCAAAGATTACTTTTCTGTTTCATAGTGATTCACATAAGAGACTGCTTGGCTGTGAAAATGTGATTATCCAGCATCTGCCTGCTTGTCAGGAATGGAACTTTTTTCCTTCCCTTGCATATTGGATGTCTTCATCTGAAATCATACATTTTTTTTTTTTAACTCTTCATTACATTCTTTCATTTTAAATTGGGCTCGTGGGCGATTGCTTTCAACACTACTGTGGCTTCACGTTAAAATAACTGTCTGGTCTAACCACAGGCAGCGATGGCCACAGCTTATTCTTGCTAACATGTGAAGCAGAAATGTTTGGGCTGTTCCAAATTGAGGCCTGCAGAGTGCCCTGAAATGCAGGGCCAGCGTAGAGTGGAGCACACGGCTGTGAGAGCCATCGCCAGGCTGCCCCAGTCCTGCATCCTCAGTCACCCAGGACCTGGCTGGGTGTCAGCATGCCTCGTCTGCCATCTTTGGGTCACTTGTCAGTAGAAACAGAGCTGACCATTTCTGTGCCTCTGCTGCTTTGCCTCCCCTGGCCAGGAGGGATCTGTGGGCAGTTCTGGGGGTCCCTGTCCTTACAAGGGAAGCTGGCCAGTCCAGGTGGCCAGCAGTCCCAGGATAGGGTCGAGTCCATCAGACTCTCTTCTGCCCAAGGGATTCCTTGAGTATTTTCGAGCCACTTAGCAACTATAAAATATATGATTATATATTTATATGCATGAATAAATATATGCTTCAAGCTGCGATGGCACTGTTTTAATGGCAAATGTTATAAGAGCTGTAAATAGCCATTTGTAGTATTTTTTTTCATGATTAAATGCCATTGTTGGAGTGATGTGAGAGAACACAAGGAAGGAACTTGAGTGCCAAATTAAATTGCTCTGCCCACCCAGTTAACGTGCAAAGCAGGGGAGGGCGGTGGGATGTAAGGAGAGGGATCGTCCCCCAAAGCCTTTGCTTTGCTGGGAGTGAGACCATCCCATGGAGGGGCTGAAACGGGGCAGGGGCCAGTCTACAGGGTGGAAAGAGCCCCCATTCTGACTGTGGAAGTGACCCCCAGACTGCTCGGTGGACTGAATGGAACTGCTCAGGCTAAAAGTCATCCCTTCCTCCTGGGATCT